TGAGGAGCAGCGCTACTGGAGCAACCCAGCAGCACCCCAGCTGCTCTGCCCCAGGCGTCCCCAAGTCAGCCGCTACTGAAACTGACCAGCGCTGACTACAGGAAACCCGAGGCAGAGTTGCTCTGCCCCAGGCTTCCTGGAATCAGCCGCTGATCAGTTTCAGCAGCAGCTGACTTGGGGACGCTTGGGGTTCTTAAGTTGAATCTGTATGTAAGTCAGAACTGGTGGTCAGTTTCAGCAGCGGCTGAATCTGGACGCCAGTTCCAACTTGCATACAGATTCAACTTAAGAACAAACCTACAGTCCCCATCTTGTACGTAACCCGGGGACTGCCTGTACACCTGTACTTGAATTCTTGGTGCTCTATAAAGTAGTTACATTGCACATAGATTTTTTTCACAACATATTTGTATCCAAATTTAATTTAGTATTAGTTTGCTTACAGATTGAACACATTTGAGATTTTTTTAAAAGGCACCAAACAGACTCCCTAAATACAGGACTGATTGCAGTATTTATGAAAAGTACTTTGGTTAGACTACCTGATTGCACTTGGTTCCTTAAAACTGGTTGAAGTTCTCTCAGCACTACACACTACTGGGAAAACCAGATTTGAATATTCTATTATGAATACTATAATGGTGTTCTATAGTATCCATTGTCTTGAGCTAAGCATGCCACTTTTCAGTTTTTCAGGATTTTTCTGTTCAGAATAATAGATTAAATGGATAATTTCCTATAATTGTACCTTCCCTTTGAATTGAATTTTCAAATCATATCACTAAATTTTGACTCAATAGGACTAGTAAAATATTGGAGTAGATTGGAAAATATTTAAAAAATCAATTAATCATTGGTAAATGAGCCTATAACCCTACAAATGTGAACAAACTATAAACTGATGTAACTCACAAGGCAAGTTCATTGCTGCTTTTTTCATAATGTTGCTAAATTAGATCATAGTGAAAATCACCATGTATTGATTTCATTGGTGGAATTCCCTATGGGAAGCAGTAAAATGATCACGCCTGTTAATTTCATGCTGCTGCTGCTTAAAAAACTTAAGACTGGGATGTGACCAGTGGTTCTCAAACTTTTTGGCCCATGGCCCACCCCACTCAACACAGACCTTTCCACGGACCGCCAGCCAACCATTCATGATGACAAGATGGGTGCAGGAGGGGATGAAGTTACGGGGTCTGGCTGGGAGGCTGGGTGAAGGAGCGGACTGAAGGTAGGGGCTCTGGCTGCAAGGTTGGGTAATAGAGTGGACTCTGAGGGTAGGGAGTCTGGTTGGGAAGGTGCAGGAATGGGGTGGAGGTGTGGGGTCTGAGCATGAGAGAAATGAGGGGCATTTTCCTGTCTCCATGCCACCTGCGCCACCCCCCATTGCTCCCATTGGCCATGATTCCAGCCAATGGGAGCAGTGGGGAAGCCTCTAGGTGAGCAATTTCCTGCACTGCCATTCCCACAGCCAGGGGAAGCAGCAGCACATGCTGGATCCTGTCTCCCACATGCTGGATCCTGTCCCACCCCCATAACAGGAAGGCTCCCCTCTCCCAGCGGGAAGTAGGCGCTGGTGCTCCAACTTTGTTGGGGAAGAGGGAGGACACAGGGCTGGAGCATCAGTGCAGGTTCTCCACTTCAAGGAGGGAAGTGAGCCTCAAGCCCACAGCCCACATACAAGATGGTCTGAAGACCACACTTTGAGAACCACTGCATTAAACACAGGCATACAAAATCCCATTTAATTAGTTAATTGGTTAAACGTTAAACAGTTAAATGGGGGGGTAGGCAAGGGAGGCCATTCCAGTCTGGTTGGGCTGGAGCGGCACCCCCTGCCCGCCAGGGAGCTGCTGCAGCCATGGATGGCCCCTGCCCACAGCAGGCCTTGCAGTGCTCGAGCAGCCCCTACTCACAGTAAGCGGGGGAGGGGGAGCTACTCGAGCCCCCACCAGTTAACCGGTTAACCATTAACATCCCTACAATGGATATGATAGAACCCTCAACTGGAATCCAGGAGTAGCTTCCTTTTTGTACTGCCAAAGCAGATATCCCACCCAAAGCTAACTTGAGCTAGGAAGTGAAAAATCCAGGCAAATAGAAGAGTTTTCAGGGTGTGTCATCTGCTGCAGAAACTACATTTTAAATAAGAAAATGTTCTAGCCCTTATGCATGATGAGAGTTTTTCAAAGCCAAACCAAGCTGGAACCAATGCACTGTTCTGGTCTTCAGGTTGTAGACAGACAGCTTTAGCACTGTAAGTTTCCATTGCTGGTTTTATAGATCCTTGAGGGCAGTACTGAAATTGACATTTGGGTCAGTTTCATTCTGCACAGGCTGTTGATGGCAACCATAAACTGCAGCAGAGGACAGCATTGGGAGAACTCTGGAGAGAGGTCAGATTGAGCCTATGAAGGAGAGGTGGAAAGCAGAAACTCCTCCCATGAAGCAGGCTAAAAGCTGAGGGAAGTTTAAGTTTCTGAAGAATAATCCCAGAACCCCATCACAGTCAGGGCCAACTTATCCATTAGGCACAGTGCCTATAGCCCACGATACTTTTAGGGGCCCATGAAAATGTTTTAATTTCTTTTAAAATCAGAAGAGAAAAAATGAACTTTTAGGGTCGAAGAAAATGTTTTTCGACTGCGTTGGTATAAAGATGAATATAATCCAGCCTGGATTATATTCGTCTTTATACCAATGCAGTCGTAAAATATAATTTTTAATATATATATATATATACACGAAAGTCATAATGCAGCCCTGATCACAGTAGCATGTGTAAAGCAAAAGACAATCTTTGCCTTTTTAAAAACCAACAAGTCAAATGCATTTCAGTAAAAAGATTTGATAAGTGCTGTGGGATTTGTTAAATATGATCAATAGCTATTGTTGCTACAATGTGATCAACCTTAATAGTAAATCACATTTTGAATTAGTTATTAAATACAATGTACAAAAAAGTACACAACAGTCTTTATTCCTTTTTCAGTCAAAGAGGATTTGGCTTTCAGGAGTGAGTGTAACCATACTGGTATGTTCACCCTGGTTAGCAAGCCTTGTTCTTGGGCAACTAGTGTCTGGGACACCTTTCAAGAACTGAATTAAGCAATAGGTCTTGGGTAGGAAGCTGGCACTTACAATCAAAGAGTGTGTTCTGCACTGCAGCAGTCTAGATCACAGAACCACAAGATCCTTCAGCTAGTGTCAAGGAGGAACTGAGGAGGGCAGCATGTGTGCCAATAGGTGGCCTGGCTCATGCTCTGCCCCGTTAATGCTGACCTAGCAGTTAACTGAACTGTGAGAGTTTTGCAGCCTCTGTATCAGGAAACCTAAATCCAGAATTGAGACTCCTGAGTTGATGGTGGGGACCACTCCACTCCCCCTATAACAGTGTGTTTAATGTATAGGAGCCATACAAGAAGCTGTGGGAAAATTCCTCTAGTACAGGAATTGCATGAGGCCAACATAAGCAATTCAGTGCAGTTCTCTTTCATAAATCTTTCCATTTTCCATGTTAGGATTAGTGGGGATGTGCCTGTAACACTAAGCACTATAAGGAGTCTGGTTCACTCTGCTCTAGAAACAGCTCTAGGATACTACTGTAAATTAGAGCAGCATCAGAAGTCATTCTAATTTATGCTGGGGGTTGACACCTTTCAGCATCCCAGAAACCAGAGACTATATGGGTTGCATAACACTACCTGTAGGTATGGCATAGAATCATTTAGAAAACCACTGCCTCATGATTTCTGTCTTGTGAAGGTTACCTTCAAGAAGAAAAACAAAAATATTATGACCGACTTTTACTGACTGCCAAGAATGATCTTGACACTGAAAGACAAACTATAACCCAACTGAAATCTGAACTTAATGAATTCAAAAAGAAACATGAAGAAACAAAACGAGAAGTAATGCATTTAAATAGCGTATTGCAGTCACAATGCAATTTTGCTATGCAGAATCTAGAAGATGAAAACAAAATCAAAGGAGATAAAATACAGAGGTTAAAGCAAGAGAATGAAACTATCAGAGAAAAGCTCAAAGAAGAAAAGAAGAAGACTGAAGATCTCTTATCTCAGGTAAGTGGATCCCATATGCGAGTTTAAATACATTAGCGAAGAGCTAAATTAAAAATATCAACTCCTTAAGCACAAAAGAGGGTCATAATGGTCTGAAACTATTTTACTTTGTTTAACAATAACTGTTTTCTGCAGATATCTGGCCCTAGTGTACATAACTTAGGAGTCTGAAAAATCCACACCCTCTGAGCAAAGTATTTAGACCAGCTAAACCACCAGTAAGACAATGCTAGGTTGACGGGATAATTGCCCCATCAACTTAACTTCCACGTCTTGGGAAGGTTGAGTCCTTACATGGAGAGGAGAAGCCCTCCATGGCAGCTGTGCCACTGCATTGTTTTAAGCATACAAACTCTTAAGAGTTCTCTTTTTTTTTAATGATTAAAGGTGTTGTCATTCTGCAGTTTTTGGATTTGCACCAAAAGCCTCATAAAATACTCCCTAACACTTTCTTTACTGCCATCTATTATTAGAATCTTTAAAAATTCACCAGATACAATTTACGTACAAAGGTAACCTTGTATGAAGCAAATGCCAGACCAACTATTTCTCTCCCTTGGAGAGAATACTTCACAGCAGCTAACCTGGCTTCACTACCTAAGCTCAGTGATTCAATATCCTCCAGTGTTTACTAAAATCTATTGTTATATACTGAATACTTAAATCACCTATCTCAGGGGTTTCCAAACTTTTTGACACGGGAACCAGTAAATTCATTCACGAGCTTTTGGAGGACTGGTAACATATATTTGCATATTCATTAAGCAAATGACAAATATGCAAATACGTTGGTTTTGGTCCTCCCAAAACCCCCAGGACTAGCTTTAGCAAAGCTTTTGATACGGCCACCCACAACATTCTTACCAGCAAGTTAAGGGAATATGGATTGGAAAAATGGACTGAAATCCAATAAAACCCTGCACCACCACATCGTGTATTGAAAAGGGGCTCATTTATTTTCAGAAAGCTGACACCATCTTTGGAATTTTTTTATCCATATTCTCATTCCTGATGGTGACTGCACCAGGTTCTTTCCATTCTGACACATTGCAGTGCCTTTAAACCTCACTGTCAGCAGTGGGGATATTTAAAAGGCACTGCTTTTAAATTTTTATTCAGGATCTTCGTGCGCCCTGAACTGTCCCACTCCCCGCTGGCCGATTACCTCCCCCCTCCCCGCCCACCCTTC